CCCCATCTCTCAGGTTGCAAGGTGAAGCAGATGGTCGCTGGCCGCGCTCAGGGGACACCAGGCCTGAACACCCCTTCAGACCGGGTTTAGGGTTTAGGGTTTAGGGGTTAGGGTTTAGGGTTTAGGGTTAGGATGTGCAGCATGTGCGTTGCGCCTGTACAAGTCTGCAGACTCTTGGCATTTAGCATGTTAGTGTAGACTTGTTCTGACTTGGTACCAGTAGCGCGAATGGCTGCACAGATCTTCACAATGCCGGGAGGCCGCAATCCCCGAGGCCGCAATCCCCACAGCGGCTTCCTTCACCAGCTCTGGGCTCAGCTTGCAGAATTCGAGAGGAACCCATGAGCTCACGGCATCGCAGTCTTGGTTTGGAGGGATGAGATGCTTGGAGGTTCATGGAGACTGAAAACCCCAACTATGTGTGGTACTGATAACCTACGTAGAGGACTTCGGGGGCTGATGTTATAAGTGCGGCTTTTTGGCTGCGGGCCCTGAAAATGTGTACAATCTCTACCCGGAATGTCCCTGTTTGAGCTGCAGTTGAGAAAAAAACAGCCACAAATCCTGTCTGCCTTGTAGCCTATGTAATATGCACATGCTCAGAGCCCCTCGCCGGTTGTCTTGATGTCACATGATTCTTGCAACCTGCTGGTTGACGCCTTCGCTGACCATGCATGTTTCGGAGTTTACCTTCGAAACTGCAGTCGGACCACACTCCGGCCACGGAACAGCTCGTCGCCTCGAGCATGTGGCTTTCACTTTTGCTCAACCCGCAGACTTCAGCTGGATACGCGAGGGCGATTCGCAACTCGAGCTATGCGCATCCCTTGCAAAGATTCGCGCTGTTTCTTGTGTCGTAGATCCTAGTCCCCTAAACAGTACAGCTTCGCTGAGTTTTCTTTCAAAAAAAATTCAGAGGGCACATCCTGCCTGTCGCAAGTGCATTCGCTTTGCGGCGTTGTGGATCATGGACAGAGACCTGGAGGTCCTCGAGCTTGTCTGACGCTGGTCAATCTTGTGGTCGATACACCGCTTGACCCGCAACTCGCTACTGTGCTCCAAGGCCTTGCTTGCTGTATCCCGCAAAAGGCCATCAACTTGTTTTCGACAATCATGCCAAGATGTTGAGATGCTATGAAATCTCGACAAGAGAGGGCCAGCGATGCTAGTTTGAGTGGGTATGCCAGATGCATTCTGCACTTTTCAAGGTCTTTTGAGGCAACGTGCACGAACTGTTTCTCACTGACCACCTTTAATGAAGCTTTGGGCGTAATGTGGATATCTAAGGACAGGACCCAACACCTCATCCCTGCCAAAAACACATTGATGATGCTATCCGTGATGTGTCGATTGCAGTGTCGTCTACCCAATCATACTGGCTTTGGTCGATCGGTAGCTTTAATGAGTGCGCGTCTGCGCTTGTACTTCCTATGGTCTCCATGGGAGGGCTGTACTGCATCGGAGCTTCTGTTTTACTCTTCATAAGGGTTTCTGTTTATGATCATCAAAGTGAACACACCCCCCCAGCCCCCCCCAGCCCCCCCGCCCCCACCCCCCCCCACCCCCCCCACCCCCACCCCCTCGGTCTCCAGCTATTTCAAGGCAAGAGCTGAACTGGAGCGGCGGTGTTCGGCACTCAGCAGTCGAGAAATACGCGACAAGTGCTGCACTGGCCCCCCGTTGCCGCGCCAGGTCAGAACTTGCAGTCGCAAGCTCAGGCTTCGGAGAAGTGAGAAGTGGCACAAACCCCAAGACCTGAACACCTGTTTCGACCTAAGCCCTAAACCCCTAAATCCTAACACCCTAAACCGCCTAAACCCCTAAACCCTAAGCCCTAGAGAACTTGCTGGTTCTTAGTCGGAGGGAATGATCAACCCTATATCCCCCTATGTATGCCCTTCAAGCGATTTTGTAGGGTCCCGAAGTCCCCCATGTCCTTCCAAGAGCCAGGGAGAGAGACCAGGTTTCAGCTCGACAGGGCTCGGGAGGATGCCGCGGCCGCGAGGCCTCGGGTGAGTGTTGGGGTGTGTTATATATATACAGATATATTATTATTATTATTATTATTATTATTATTACTATTACTACTAATATTTTTGTTTGTTTTTTTTGTCTGGGGCATTTGGGGTAAGTTTCGGGGTATTTTGTGGTAATTACTTGGGGTATGTCTAGGGCAGCTGGGGTGTGTGGGGGCCCTTTTTGTGGTTGGAGGCTTGCTTAGAGTTTAGGGTTTAGGGTTTAGGGTTTAGGGTTTAGGGTTTAGGGTTTAGGGTTTAGGGTTTAGGGTTTAGGGTTTAGGGTTTAGGGTTTAGGGTTTAGGGTTTAGGGTTTAGGGTTTCGTGTTTAGACTTCTTCTTCAGGGCCCCAAAAAGGACTGCGAGCCTTAACACCGCGCGGATGGTTTTTGTTTGGGAGGACTTCAAGGCCTTCCCGGGAGCTTTAAGGGCTTTGAGGGCTTTCGGGTCTATTCCTTCAAGTGACTTCGAGTCCAAGGGCAAAAGGGGCTTCGGCATTTTCCTTGACTGCGCACGGCCGCGGGGTGCTGCTTTATTGTTATGCGGGCTTCGGGTGTGGTGCCGAGGCAGCGAGCACAGGATTTGGAGTCCTGCCCCTGGGCTGGTCCTGCAAGTGTCCTGCATAGGGGCCTGGGAGACACGTGCTGTGAGGTGGGATGCTCGAGATACAACATCCAGCCTGTACGTGCGATGCTCGGGCCGAAATGTGCGCCAGATGCCATTGTCTAAATCCTGTAGCACCTTAAACCCTAAACCCTAATTAAACCCTAAACCCTAAACCCTCCTAAACCCCAAACCCTAAATTTAAGAGCCTCCGGCTCAAGCCGCCGACCCCGCAGGAGAACAAGTTTAAGGTTTGGGGTTTGGTGGATTGGGTTTGCGGTTCGGGTCTGGGTGGGGGGGTCGGGGGGGTGGTTCCACCCAAAAGAGCCCCTGTGCCCTGTGCGAAACCGCCTATGGTCCGTGAGTTTACGCGGTGTGGGTGGCCTGTTCCTCCACAGAAAAGCTGCCGGGGTACCCCCCCCTCCCCCCCCCCCCTCCCCCGCACTTTTGGGGAAAGAGGGAGGTTTTCACCTCCAGAAACCCATCCAACACGCCGCCAGGGTCGGCGGACCCAAAACCCTAAACCCTAAACCCTAAACCCTAAACCCTAAACCCTAAACCCTAGACCCTAGACCCTAGACCCTAGACCCAAAACCCTAAACCCTAAACCCTAAACCCCAAACCCCAAACCCTAAACCCTAAACCCTAAACCCTAAACCCTAAACCCCAACCCTAAACTCTAAACCCTAAACCCTGCAAAGCCCCACACCCGGAAGCTTGTACAAAAAGTCGTGGAGGGACCCGGGCTCACCGTGAAAGCACCAGGCCCGTCAGACGCCCGAGCTGGCCGACAGGCCCGGAGCTTGATAGGTAAAAGCTGAATAAACATATTACAAAAGTATATATATATATATATATGTATATATATATATATACCCATAACCATATATATATATATATATATACATGACCAGGAATAAAGTTTCGTCGCTCTTGACAAGACAAAGTTCACGGAGGACAGCGGAGTATTGCATCATGGTTTTGTTCTAGCCTGGCCAGCGGAGGAATTGATCCCCTGGAATAAACTTATACTATTTTTAATGTTTCGGAGGAGGACCCGGTGCTCTTGGAGTGCAGGAGTCTAAGGGGGAGAGGGGGTTTTCTGCTATCTTCTTGTCTTACGTTGTGAGTGCGACGAACTTTCGGCCTGGCGCAGCATGCGTTCGGGGAGCACTGGTCTTGCCCAAACTTCAAAAAGGTGGGATCTTTTTGAAGCAAACTCTGGCCACCAAAACGCATGCTGCGCCGGGCCGATAGTTCGACCCACCAACATCTTGGGGCTCTTACACCCATACCCCGCCCTCTTCCCCATAGACTCCTGACACAATGGGGCTGGGGGCCTCCTCCGGAGCTACTATAGTACTATATTTTCAAAACGGGGTATTAATTTCTCCGCTAGCAGGCGTAGGGAAAATGCTACTTTTCGGCACTCCGCTACTCCGCGGGAGCCTTCACTGTCTGCATGCCATCCAACATGTGCCGTGGGTCGAAACTTTCGGCCCGGGGGTGCCTTCCGTAAGCACTTTTTGAAGCAGACACTGGCCACCAAAACGCATGCTGCCTTCCGTAAGCACTTTTTCAAGCAGACTCTGGCCACCGAAACGCACGCTGCTGGCCGTAAGCACTTGTGAAGCAGACTCTGGCGACCAACACGCATGCTGCTTTCCGGAAGCACTTTTTGAAGCAGACTCTAGCCACAAAAACGCATGCTCTGCGCGATGCTGACGCCGGCCAGGTCCTGGACGCCAGATTTTTTAGTGGAAACGGCCTCGTGAGGAGCATGACCAGGAATAAAGTTTCGTCGCTCTTGACAAGACAAAGTTCACGGAGGACAGCGGAGTATTGCATCATGGTTTTGTTCTAGCCTGGCCAGCGGAGGAATTGATCCCCTGGAATAAACTTATACTATTTTTAATGTTTCGGAGGAGGACCCGGTGCTCTTGGAGTGCAGGAGTCTAAGGGGGAGAGGGGGTTTTCTGCTATCTTCTTGTCTTACGTTGTGAGTGCGACGAACTTTCGGCCTGGCGCAGTATATAAATATGTAGGTAAGTATGTACGCATGCATGCAAGCAGGCATTGTCTGTCTGTCTGTATGTATGTATGCATGCACGGATGTATGTACGTATGTATGTCTGTATGTATGTATATATATATAATAAGTGTAATGTGAATATAGAATACAGATGGCATATGGTATGTATATTTAAACATACATTCTTGTGCATGCAGCCGGTGTGGCATTTGTCAGCCAGGCAGGCTTCGCGGGAGCTTGAGAAGAAGACTGCAGCTCTGCAAAGACATTGCGCAAGACATTGCAGCCTTGCTGCGAGCCATTCTGGAACAAGTTTGTCAGTTCAATTTGAGGTGACTCTGGAGACCGAGATGAATGCAGCTTTTGCGCAGGCCTGCCACAAATGGAGGGCATGAGGGAAGCTTCTGACTTCTGAGTCTTCATGAGGCTCAGGCGGCCAAGGCTGCAGAAGAGTCAGCACTTGCTGCTCTATCCGACTGCTGCTCAGCGTTGCTTTGCCTGGGTGCTGAGTTTCGGGACGTCTGACTCTGAGTCAGGACAGCGAGCGCCGCTGTCAAGACGGCCTGCGACGCATGGATTCCATGCTCGCAGACACAAAGGAGCTGACCAGGGAGCAACTGGATACTCTTGTTTAGACATGTCTAAAAAATAGTATCCAGTTAGAAACAAAGGAGCTGACCAGGGAGCTGGCGAAGCACAAGCACCTGGCCAAGGCTTGGGGACGCATGGGACGAAGTTGTGTTAACATGTGTTATGTATCTTTAGATAATGGCTGCTCAATTATTGATGAATTAGTTCATTCACTATACATAAGCACTATATATATATATATATAGAGACTATATAGAATATACAAATTTCATCAGTCTTCTTAGAGCTTATATACATATACACACGCAAAATTAACCTTGAGCCAGGGCATGGACGACATGGTCCGCCGTCACGAGAGGAGGATGCTCAGGAGCCTCGAAGTCCAGTTTTTCTGCACTCAAAGAGGTTTCAATTTGAGAGATGTTGAGATGCCATCGGAGCAGGCAGCAAGAGGAAGCCCGGGACTTGGCTTCGTCAGGGACCTCCTAAAACTCTGAAAACCCCCCCCAAGCCCCTAAACCCTAAACCCTAAATCTAAACCCGCAACTCGCAACCCTAAACAAGAACCCTAAACCCTAAAAAAACCCTAAACCCCTAAAACCCCAAGCAGAGCGACACACCACGGCAAGCAGAGGCGGCTCTGGCGCCAGCGACTCCCACCTTCAGCGAAGTTCGCTCGCGCTCGGGCCGAAGGCCGGAGCCCCAGACGCCTCGAGGAAAGCGAGATAGGTAAGGCTGAAGTAAGGGTTTAGGGTTTAGGGTCTAGGGTTTAGGGTTAGGGTTTTAGGGTTTAGGGTTTAGGGTTTAGGGTTTAGGGTTTAGGGTTTTAGGGTTTAGGGTTTAGGGTTTAGGGTTCAAAGGCTTTAGGGTTGCTTCAAGAAAAGGCAGGCTTCAGGGGAGAACCTCTCCATGAAGTGTTCCTTGCAAAGGCAAGATGGCTTTGCAGGCGATTCGCATGACCCAGGCCTTCTCCGCAAGCGAGACCATCTCCAAAGCCGTGGCCGGTGCAGGATGGGATGCTGCGCGCATGGTGGTTTAGGGTTTAGGGTTTAGGGTTTTAGGGTTTGTGGTTTAGGGTTTAGGTGTTTAGGGTTTAGGGTTTAGGGTTTAGGGTTTAGGGTTTAGGGTTTAGGGCATGGTGGGAGAGCCTTCTTGCGATGCCGTGCAGGACCAGATTGCAGACCAAGGAAGTGCGTCGAGAAGAGACCTGAGGCTTTCGGAAGCCGTTTGGACACATCGATACATCAGTAAATTGCGTGGCCAGGGGCGACCTGCGCCGAATTGGAGGCAGCCCCTCCGACAAACTTAGCAGTTGTTGATGCTTATTATCCCTTTTTTTTGAGCGCTGTGTGCTGGAGGCCTTGGTTCGCACAAGGCTCCGGTGGAATCCCCGGCAGTTCTTGCGGGGTGTGACATGCCTCGGCCAACGCGTGGGGGCACGCAGAGCGTTTGCTGAGGCTGGGATGTCCCAGCACTCGCCACCTTCCGACGGAGGACGCAGCGTCCATGGAAGTCCCTTCCGTCGATTCGGCTTCGGGCTCATGGAAGCACAGCTTCAGGAGGGAGACTCCGCAGTGGGATCTCCTGGTCCCCCAGATCCCGAAGCAAGCCTCAGGCCAGGCTCCCCAGGACGTGTGCCGTCGCATGGTCCCACACAGCAGGAGTGGCGAGCCAGCCCTTGGCGACAGCCCGTGCCTCTCACACACCAAAATGCATTGAGCGGGGACCTGTGGGGCTTTGTGCTGTGGGCAACCTGATAGCTGATGCATAGGCCAGCCTCCGCGTCCTCCTCGTCTCTGCCATGCACCTTCGGAAGCGCGTCGCGCTGGCGGGAGGTGCCCCACCCCCCCCCCTCCCCGCAGGTCGCACACTTTTTGTAACTTTTTTGCGTTTCTGTTTGCAAAGAGGCCTCCGGCCGAACCGAAGAGAGGCACCGACTTCTTGATTCGTGCTGTGGTATTGCAACGCATGCAATGCGCCATGGCACACGGATCACTGCACGCATGCTTGTGTCTTCTTGTGTCGGTTTCAGCCGTGTTTTCATATCAGATACGGGTTCTTCCCCTTGGACTTTCGGCATCCAGTCGCAAACAGGGAGCCCGCAGCGACCAGTGAGAAATTAAAGCTCCCAGGAAACGTATTTCGGTAGTTCGACAGCGGAGCCGTGCCATTGACTTTAAGGGGCTGCGTGATCCGAGCCCACACCCACAACAGGCCAGCTCGGCCAAACCTTCCTATCCTTTTCGTGCCGTTCATGACTTCACAAAGCACGGTGAGATGAGCTGACCAGTCAACTTTGGACTACTTCGCATCGGAACGCCGGAGCAAAACAATAAAACACAGAGGTGTCTCCATCTAAGGCTGTGAGACAAACAGCCGCTGTGAGAGCTTGCTGATCTCTCGTCCTCTTTCGGTCTGCAAATGCAAAGTCTGCCTCACTCCGCAGGATTGCTCCAGTCTTCTGACATCATTGGTGCAGGAGCGTCTGCAAACACTGACCGTTAAGAATTTTGATGTATTGCATGCTGCAACCTCTGATGCCAGGATTCATCATGGTTCTCGTGTCGTTGGTTGGCATTGCACCGAACAAGAAGTGAAGGATAATTCGTGACATCTGCACGGAATTAACTTGGCTTCCCAGGCGAAGAATGACTCGCTGCTACTTGGAAATAGTTGATTTCGCGGTTGCTCTCGCAGGAGCGCGGCTGCCCTCAGAATGCGGAGAATCATGTGCCCTGGGCAAATCTTGAAGTTGTTTAATCAGGTCCGTACAAGATGTATGGAGAAGCTGCATTGCTCAAAAAAGCTTGTTCCGGCGGCATTTGTGGCTTTTTGACATCACGCACCAGACATGCCAGAGGCTGAACACTCCAGATACACTTGGGTTACCCAACAGCTTCTTCAATGACTGCCGGTTGCCCTACCAGACAAAGACTTTCGGACGAGAAAGGAGAAACACCCAGCATCGTGACAGCTTCATTCTCGAACAAAAGCCGACCTGAAAGGAAAATGTCAAAGGAAGGCAGTCGCAGGCCCTTCGCAGGAATCCGTTCCTGGTGCCATTGTTAATTAACCATACTTGTAGTATTCTGTATACAGTACAGCATCATGCTAGGGAGGTGCGGGAAGTGGCTGTCATCCACAGCGCCCAAGCCGCTCTCGAAACGAAGAAAGCTGAGCTCGCGGTTCTTGCGCCGACATGTGGACGAAGCCTCCACCCGATGTGTCATGTGCTTGCAGCCCAGATGTTCACAGGAAGAGGCTCGCATCGTGGGTTGACTTGCGTGTCTGTCAGCTTAGGTCAGCAACAGCGTTGAGTCATTCTACCGTGGAACTGTGGCAGGCCAGGTCGGGCGAGGGACTGGTGATAGAAAAAGAGACCGGTGATAGAAAAAGAGACCGTGAGAAACCATAGTGATGGTAATGCTAGTTGTCACGAATCCCCTAAACCCTAAACCCTTCACCCTAAACCCAAAACCCTAAATCCTAAACCCTAACCCCTGAGCCCACATACATATATATATATATATATATATACACATGTATATCGAATATACTCCCAATATAGATCACACATATTGTTTGTATACTAGCCCGAATCTTTTTTGCCAGTTCGGTGTAGCGGTGCTCCCAAGGCGCCTTTCCGATAATCACGAGAGCTCTCCCCAGGGAGCCTTTCGTAAATCGTGAGACAAATGTTCGATTGTTTGTTTGCTGTCTTATATACAACGTCATAAAACATTTGTCCATGTTTGTATATATACATATATTCATATATATATATATATATATATATATATATACATTTTTTTCATACATATATATATATATATATATATATTCATATATATATATAGACGCGCATATAGTCTACAAGTATACACCCCGGGCCGACAGCTTCGACCTCGCAAGCAAGCTAGTTAACATGCAGATAAGGGAGGCTCGTGCGGAATAGGGGAGGTGCCGGCAAGTGTCGTTGTTTTAAAACAAGATAGTACTGTTTAGTTACCCTAACCCCTAAACCCTAAACCCTAAACCCTAAACCCTAAACCCTAAACCCTAAACCCTAAACCCTAAACCCTAAACCCTAGACCCTAGACCCTAAACCGTTCGCTTAGTCGTTCAGCCACGCGAGGGGGCATCTTCGGCTTGGTCTTCGGGCCGGAGACGGCCAGACTCACAGGGGGATCACAAGCACAGGTTTAGGGTTTAGGGTTTAGGGTTTAGGGTTTAGTGTTTAGGGTTTAGGGTTTAGGGTTCAGGGTTTAGGGGAGAGATGAAGAGCCGAGATTTTCCAGACAAGCTGAGAAGGGATCGGTGCCTCAGGGCGTGGGCTTCCTGGCTCATCTGAAGGGCACCGTTCGCCCCGCGGCGCTCGCCGGGTTCTGGCATCTCGGTGGCAGTTTTTGCTCCTTGCACAGTTGCGCGCGGGCGCGTCGCGCGCGCGCGCGCGCGAACTTGAAATGTGCGCCCAACAGTGCAAGGTGCCTGCTGACCTCTTTTTCCTCGTGCGCGCCGGCCTTTGGCCTTTGGTGCTTGGTCGGTTCATTGAGGTTGACCTCTGCAGCTTCAGCATATGGCTCCAGGTGCTGACGAGAGATGGCTTTCCCTATCCGTACAACGGGGCCATTTCAGGGCTCTTCTCAGGTCGCCGTGGCCAGCGTGACTAAAGCTTTTGCATATCGCATCTTGTATGAATGTATACTATACACTGTGTACATTATGGCATGATTATGGAGTATACAGCAGCCAATAGGTCTTGTCTTGTCTGGCAGGGGCAGTGCTCAGCATCGTGAATCGCTGGGATCGAGAGTCGGAAGCCCAGCTGAAAACTCCAGAATCAAACCCCACCCCCCCCACCCCCCCCAAAACAGAAAGACCTAAACCCTAAACCCTAAACCCTAAACCCTAAACCCGAAACCCTAAACCCTAAACCCTAAACCCTACACCCAAAGCCGAGACAAGAGTGATGCAATAGTGAACAAGAGGCAGAAGCCATAGCAGAGAGAGAGCAAGAGAGAGCTGAGTTCCACACTCTGGACCATGGCCGGGAGCTCCGTGCTCAGCATCTTGCCGGAGCCTTGGCGGTTTAGGGTTTAGGGTTTAGGGTTTAGGGTTTAGGGTTTAGGGTTTACGTGAGTTTGAAGCTTCAAGAGGAGGCGGTGTTGTCTGAGGGGAGTTTTTGTGGGTTCAGGAAGTTGAGGGTTTTGGTTTTCGGGTTTCGGGTCGAGCTAGGGTGCACCCCTATGCTTCATGTACTTCAATGCCGTGTTTTTTTTATTATCTCTCTGGCTCTCTCTCTCTCTCTCTCTCTCTCTTTGTCCGTCTGTGTTGAGGGGGAGGTGGGGCAAGAACGTCCATGCTACTCGCTGAGCCCCAAAACCCTCAACATCAACCTCCCCAGATAACCCCCTAAACCCTAAACCCTAAACCCTAAACCCTAAACCCTAAACCCTAAACCCTAAACCCTAAACCCTAAACCCTAAACCCTGTCATCCTCAGCCCACAGGGGCTTGGGGAGGTCTGAGGGGCTTTTTCGGACTCCGAGGCTTCCGCTTTCAGGGTTCCGGGGCCTGAAAAGGATTTACGGTTCTAGAGGCCACGGCGTTTTTTTTTTTTTTTTTTTTTTTAGGCTCTTGCGAAGGAGCTTAGAATCAAGTCGCCAGAATGCTGGAATTATCTTCATGTAGCTCTATTGTAGTCTCAGAGCTTAAGTTCCTTCGCAGGAATCCCGGTTTAGGGATGTAGGTTGCTCTCCTGCAGTTACTTAGGTATCTAGAGGCTGTGTAAGGCATATATATATATATGTACATGTATATATATATATATAGTATATTATACATAAATATAGGGGTTCTAGAGGGGGATAAGATCAAGGGTCCCTTCTCTTGCAGCTGGCAGGTCCCACTATGCTACCGATTAAGGGTCCCTTCTCTTGCAGCTGGCAGGTCCCACTATGCTACCGAAGGGCAGAGCATGAATGTCAAGGCGGGGGCCTGCACCTGCTGCCCGTGCTTCCTCCTTTCACGGCCGTCCTTCAGGGCAGCGTTCAGGGAGTTTAGGGTTTGGGGGTTTAGGGTTCAGGGAGTTTAGGGTTTAGGGGGTTTGGGGTTCAGGGAATTTAGGGTTCAGGGTTTAGGTGTTTAGGGAGTTTGGGGTGCAGGTTATTTGTTGTCTCGGAGAGATGTGCTTTGACACTTGCCCGAGAAGTGTCTGCATCTGCAAAGGCAATCAAGCGCACCATGTCTCACAATACGTTATGTGAGCCCTGAACCCTACCCCTGTAAATCCTAAACCCTAAACCCTAAACCCTAAACCCTAAACCCTAAACCCTAAACCCTAAACCCTAAACCCTAAACCCTAAACCCTAAACCCTAAACCCTAAACCCTAAACCCTAAACCCTAAACCCTTAACCCTAAACCCTAAACCCTAAACCCGAAACCCTAAACCCTGAGCCCTAAGCCCTAAACTTAAAACCCTACTGAGCCAGCAGTACTGCTGTTGTGGCTTTCATCCATGCACATTCCTGGACGAGCCCGTGGCGATGGCTTTGCCTCACTTGTGTCCACTGCGCGGCAGATCACGAACCTTGCTTAATTGGCCGGCCACGTTACTACCATTATTGTCATTATTACGTTACTACCATTATAGTCATTATCATTATTATGATTATTATGATTATGATTGGTATTATTATGATTGTCTTCTTCTTATTACAATTGCGATTACAAGTATTGTTATGATGCAGTGTACGTTGGCAGGGTTTCTTTGTGGAAAGATGTGGGACATTGAGGATCACCTCGCCGAGCAGGTGTTGGGAGTGGAGCAGTGCCATGGCCTCGTGTCTTATACTAACAGCTCCTTCATAGGGATATCGTACTAATAGGGAATTATAGTAGGGATTATAGTACCCCCACCCTAAACCCTAAACCCTAAACCCTAAACCCTAAACCCTAAACCCTAAACCCTAAACCCTAAACCCTAAACCCTAAACCCTAAACCCTAAACCCTAAACCCTAAACCCTAAATAATCCCTACCATGGAGCTGATAGTGTAAGGGGGCACATCCCAAAGCATTCATATGCTTCAAGCGCGGCAAAGATCACGGCACCAGCTTTGAGGATAGCGGACGAAAAGTTTTCGGCCGCTGTGGCGCTCCTCAACGAGCAGACTCTTGCTTCTGGGCTTAGGGGAAAGGGTTTAGGGTCTAGGGTTTCGGGTTTAGGGTTTAGGGTTTAGGATTTAGGGTTCTGCTTCGTTATTTGATGCCTCAAAGATGCCTCGCGCTCTGGCGCGCAAGTGAGTGGCCCCCGAAACAGCCAAGGCACCTCTGTTGCAGGTTCTGCAAGCTGCCCGCTGCAGTTCTGCTCCAGATGATGAGGAGGAGGAGGAGGTTTATCGCGCCTGTCCTCTGCATGGTATGCACAGTCTGAAGGCAGCTGGAAGTTGCGCTTCGGACCAACACATGGGATGGCAGTAGGGCGAAAGTCTGCACCTCAGCGGTGCTGCACATGACAGTGGATCACGACCCAACGTAAGACGCTGCCAAGGCACCTTTGTATCGCAAATTTCTGGAGTGGTGCCTGGACAAACCTGGCTGTGGGCAGATGACGAGGAGACTGTGGCAGCTACTTCGATGCACTTACCCTGTATGCGATTTCACAAGCGTCAGCTGAGATGCCCACACAGGCCTTTGATGATGCGGCCGGGAAGTTACTCAAGAGGCTTCCGAGCGAGTTGCAGAACAAGCTCATGCAACTTGTCAGTTGTTAGATACTCGGCCCTCGTGAAGATCGTGAAATTCGCCGTGGCATCCTTTTCCCGAGGCTGTACACAGCTTCTTTGACAATCATTCAGGAGAGTGTCCGTGAAGATGACTCGAAGCTTGCTGTTGCTTAGCAGGGAATGAGGGAATCAGGGCCCTATATATGTATAAATAGATACCTTTGAGGGATTCTAATGGGGTACCTATATATGCCCTTTAAGGGATTCTAATGGGGTACCTACATATACCCTTTAAGGGATGATACAGGGTACCTCATTCTGCCCCATTCCCTACTAAACCGTAAGGAAGTGGCATGTGGATTGGTATGGCATCCCAGAGGGCTTGTCCTGGACGATGCTCGTTCCACTGCTGCCGCAGGCAACTGGACTCCAAACGCTCTCTCCATCGCACACACACATTGCACGGTCGTACACTGGCTTCGGCTTCAGGAGGGTTTATTATTATTATTATTATTATTATTATTATTATTATTGTTATTGTTATTGTTATTGTTACTATTATTATTGTTATAATTATTATTTATTATTACTACTACACTATATTATAGTTACATCTGCACCGTAGCCCACAGTTACGCTCGACCGAGGAGGATGCTAGCTGGCGCGCCTTGGGTGGGACGCAGCTGTGCGTGAAGGAGCACTCGCTGCCACGACCCCAAGCTGTATCCGACACTGCGGCTGCATCCGCAACACTGGTTGCGAGAGAGGTGCTCTGCTAGGGTTTAGGGTTTAGGGGTTTAGGGTTTAGGGGTTCAGGAGTTTAAGGTTTAGGGGTGTGCCATGACGCATTGTATCTCACTTCGGAGTTCGTGATAGAAGCCGCCGGTTGGCTGCTACAACTGCCGCAGGCAGCTGCGCAGGTTCCCAACCTTTGCTCTCAGCACTGGGCCGCGGCGGAGTTTTCCGTGATGGAGCACGGATGCTTGGCTCATTCCCTAAACCCTAAACCCTAAACCCCTAAACCCCTAAACCCCTAAACCCCTAAACCCCTAAACCCCTAAACCCCTAAACCCTAAACCCCTAAACCCCTAAACCCCTAAACCCTAAACCCTAAACCCTAAACCCTAGATGTTATTCTGCGGTGGCCATTGGGCCGGAGTCGCCCTGCAACCAGGTTACCAATGGGGCGAGTGTCTTCTCTTCGATGGTCATGTGCTACACCGTACCGGGCCCTATGAGGCTCCGGTTTAGGGTTTAGGGTTTAGGGTTTAGGGTTTAGGGTTTAGGGTTTAGGGGTTTAGGGTTGAGGGCTTAGGGTTTTTTGGTCTGCTTAGAGAAGCCACTGTAGTTCAGGCAAAGACCTCCATGTCCAGAGTGTTGGCTTCACTTATGGTGCCTTGCCTGCATGAGGGTGCTCCAAAAATTAGGTTCCCGTTTTTGAGCCCCTCTAGCAGCCCCTATGTAGTTCTTGGTTCGGCACCTTGTGAACACGGACTCCCCAAAAGGGACCCTAATTTAGAGAGCTCCTAAACCCTAAACCCTAAACCCTAAACCCTAACCCTAAACCCTAAACCCTAAACCCTAAACCCTAAACCCTAAACCCTAAACCCTGAAACCCATCAGGTCGGACCGCGAGACCCCAGGTATTGGTCGGATGTTTGCAAGAGTCTGCACAAGCAGGGAGCTTGCTTCATTCGGAAGCCATGTGGGCATGTCTCAGAATAGGGGGGGTACCCTAGTATACCCCAAAATATCTAGGAACCCTCAAAGAAGGGTGCCCCTATGTTGAGAGCCCCCGATGTCTGCAGAGCAAAAAGATTTGGAGCGCTGCAAGCTTCGTCCTGCTCGGCAAAGCTCTGTGCTATCTGGCCGTCCCCATGCCTGGACGCAACGTTGAGAGGCTGAAGGCAAAAGAACGCCAGTGAGAAGTGAATGAAGCTGCTCCAGCAAGCTCGGCAGTCAGTGTATGAAAAGTGACCCCGACTTTGTGTGTCGGCACTGGGTTTAGGGTTTAGGGTTTAGGGTTTAGGGTTTAGGGTTTAGGGTTTAGGGTTTAGGGTTTAGGGTTTAGGGTTTGCAGCTTGTGCTGCTGCCTTTGATGCTGCTCGTCCCGCAAAAGCAGCAGGGCCGACATCAGGACCATTTGCATGGCTCGAGCGCAGAACTATTGAAGACTCTTGAAGGTCTTGCACAGGGCATGTGCCGTATTCAACCATGCACTTTTTTTTTTGCAACACCGGGGCATCCAGACATTAAGCTTTTGTTGCCTTGGCCCACCCGAAGATGGATCAACTCGACGAGTTCACAGCGGGGGGCTCAGGCGCAGAAAGGTCGCAGATGCGTGACACGGCCCTGGTGCAGGCTTTGTTGCGGGCAGGAACTCTTGGTGCAACAGCGCTGTGCGTCCTACCCCAGCATGTTTGACTGTTTTGTCTCAGCTGTGAAAAGCTGCAAAAGCTGCAGTTATGTTTGGTTATGTTTGGTCCGCCGCCTGTCGCCGTCTTCTCCCAAGCAGAGCCGCTGCAGCCTGCGATGCGGATGCGCCGTGGAGCACAGAGCTGTGGCACAACCTCTGAAGGCGATTATTATATATCATTATACTATTATACAATATTATTATTCTACTATTCTATTATACCATTGTACTTTTTGATTGTTGTTGTCATTATAATGTTTTTATACTATTAAACTATTCTACTATTATACCATTATACCATTATACCATTATACCATTATACCATTATACTATTATACTATTATACGATTATACTATTATACCATCATAGTATTGTATTATTCTACAATTTTACTATTGTTCTATTCTGCTATTGTGCTTCTTTACTGTTGCACTATTATGCTAGTATACCATTATACCATTGCACCATTGCACTTCTACCCTACTATACTACTCTTCGATTATTTTGCTCATCCTGGTTTAAATCAGAAAACTGTGCACTGATGTGCTTGGTTCTTAGGGTTCTTAGGGTTCTGAGGATTCTCAGGGTTCTTGGGGTTTTATGCGAATCTGTGCCCTCAGGCAGATGAGCGGAACCCTCTGCCTCGAGTCAGACGAGAAAGTGTGTCCTGAGGATACCGAGGAGGCGTGGGAAGTGTGGTTTAGGGTTGTACAGTTTCGGAAGCGACAGATTCTGAGCCGGCATGGTTCTCTGAGCAGGACTCATTCAGTTTCAGCGAAGACGAGTTCTTCGTCTGGTCTGAAACCGACAGGCACCTTGCCTCAATGGGAATGTTAAGCTTGCAACCCTAAACCTTAAACCCTACACGCCTAAACCCTAAACCCTAAACCGCTTTTCAGGAGATGCCGCAAACATCCAGTTTGCTGGCTTTGCTTTATTGCAGTTTGTGTGCTCCTGGGGCCTTTTGCGGTGGCTCTCCATGACCAGAGTCTGCCAAAAGCTACCGTGGAATGGATAATCGACAAACTCTCGAAGCCGCTTGACAAGCCGACTGACCCAGTGGCGGACGCGTCCCTGGCACTTATTATTGGTTTCGGCCAGCAGCAAATAGTGCAGTCCTCAGTCCTCGTGGACATCGCCTTTGGCCTGGTCTTCTGTGGCACGCTCACGGCCACAGTGATTGCGACCTTGGAGCCGGACGCCGGAAGCGTCCCAAAGGATTTTCTGCAGAAGGCCACGCTGTCGAACATGGCTCAGGACATGACCCAACCTCAGGGTCGACTCTGGAGCACTGCCTTGGGGCTGGCTTCGGTCTTGAGCGTGGTGTCGATGTACACCTTCTGGCTGTATCGCAGTTGGCAGCCTTTTGTTGGCGACAATAACCCCTTGCACTCTCCTGTTCTGCAAAGCAGTCTCGAACGCCGCCTGCGCATTGCCTGGGCTCTGGCCCCTAACGTTGGGTTTGTGCTAGCTGCCATGGTGCCAAGCCTTTCAGATGTGGCCGGTTACGAGATTGTCTTGACAGCCGTGCACAACGTCTCGGCCCCGTTGTCGATGCTGTTCCTCATGGTTATGGAGACCATACAGCTCGGTTATGGCGAGAATGCCTTCGCATACTTCTTCTCGCAAGATGCCACGCCACTGTACGGCCCACTCACGAAGTACCAGCGGATGCGCGTGTGCTTGCTCGTGGAAGCCTGGATTTCGGGCACGATCTTTGTGGCAGTATCTTGTCGGCAGCAGGAAGAGATCCCACATCCTTTCATATTCTTTTTTCCCGCTGAAGGGGCTGTGGGGGCGAGATCTTGCCATGGACTGTCCTGCTTCTCATCCCCCCCCCTCCTGTACGGTGACGCCAGTACGATTGTTACATCATCGCTCACTCCTATTGCCAATGCTGTGATAATAATAATAATAATACTAATAATGCTAGTAATGAAAAGAATATTACGTAGTAGTACTATCTATGGCATTGTGCAAGCCCAGGTGCAGGGCTACCTGGCTTTTCGTGACTTTGCTGCCTTTGGCTGTGTGTGAAAGTGCATGAGGCAGCCAGCTGCATGCAGTGGTTTCGGGTTTGGGGTTTAGGGTTTAGGGTTTAGGGTTTAGGTGCAAGGTAAGAACCGGCGATACTGGGTCGCGCTGACATCCTACTATGGGGAGGCTGGCGGCTGTTGGGTTCCTCTCGTGTGGAAGGGCAAAAGGGTGGCCGCATGATCGTCCTACTTACCAGCCAGGTAATCGGCATCATCCTGGCATTCTCTCTGCCGGCTGCAGCCGCAATGGATATAAGACATATGACAAATATTGTGCCGTGGCATGCATGTGCAGGTGTGGGGCTTTGCAAAGTTTCCGAGCGCAGAACCTGTGAAACTTGCAGCGAGGTGCATTCGTCCGTCCTTGCCGAGACAGCTGTTGTCATACCTCTGATTTACCAGTCTGGACTCAACGAGACTATTCAGTCAATATCCCAGCACATGGCCTCAAAGGCAGCTGAAATGGGTGGATGAGCGGAATGGACAGAGTGCCAAACCTTGGCAGTGATGTAAGATCGATGAACCGGCTGCTTAATTCGACCAGGCGAGTACCCAGTCGCCCTTGCGGAATGGATTGGCTAATGCGACTTGCGGCAAGCGCGAAGAACAAGCGAAACGGCTCCTGGTGTTGTGGTGAGTGAAGTGTGCACGCGGGCCAGTTGTGCATGCCCCCTTGGTTTTGTTACGTCTTGATGGGTCTGTGTGTGTTGAGTCGGCCGTCAACGGGGGGAGGCCTGTTTGGGTTCCCTTCGGTGGGGAGATGGCTCTTGTAGCCCTTGTTTCTCTTTGCTCTTAACTACTCTTACCACTCTTACTACTGTTATTTGCTCTTACTACTGTTATTCTTTTTGCTCTTGCTACTCTTATTGTTCTGATTACTTTCTTACTCCTGCTGCTCTCATTACTCTATTGGTTTCTAAACGCTCTTATTACTCCTGTTACTCTTATGATCCTAATTGCTCTTGTTATATTACTCTCATTACTCTTACTACTCTTGGTACTGTTATGCTTGCTATTGCTCTCACCACTACGACGACGACGACGACGACTGCTACAAGTACTTCTTCTTCTTCTTTTTGATGCTATTGCTATTCATGTTTTTACCTTTTACTGTCATTTCTCTAAATGGTTATTACGGTTACTGTCAATACGAGGATTTCTCTTCTGTGAGTATTGTCTTGTTGTTTATGTTATGTTATCACGGTTTTGATGGCACGTGTGCGCCGGAAATCTGGGTGTGTGCAATCGCGTGTCCGCCTCGGCCGATGGGTATGAACTGCACAGAGCCGATGCAGGACGGCACATGCCTGGAACCAAATGGACATCTGAACTGCTGACTTCGCAGCCTTTGCCACACATCATCGCAGATCATCATTCGTATACATGCCAAGCCCGAAAGAAATCACGGCGGCCAAGCCGCCTTGGGCTCTGCGCAGTCGATGTGGAACAGTGCAGCAGTTTGAAGAACTACTGTTACTCTTGCTACCCTAATTGCTCTTTTTTATTCCTCTCATGACTCTTACTACTCTTATTAATACTATATTCCTCTCATTACTCTTATTACTCTTATGAATACCATATTTCTCTCATTACTCTTACTACTCTTTTTACTACTATATTCCTCTCTTACTACTCTTGTTAGTGCTACTTTCCTCTCATTACTCTTACTACTCTTCTAACCCTAAACCCTAAACCCTAAACCCTAAACCCTAAACCCTAAACCCTAAACCCTAAACCCTAAACCCTAAACCCTAAACCCTAAACCCTAAACCCTACTGTGATACTTGTTATGGCGCTGCCAGGTCCTTACTCTGCCTCTGGACGTGGCTCGACACGCCGTGCAGGCAGAGACCTGGCCAGGGGTTTAGGGTTTAGGGTTTAGGGTTTAGGGTTTAGGGTTTAGGGTTTAGGGTTTAGGGTTTAGGGTTTAGGGTTTAGGGGAGTTCGTCCTTTTTTGTCCTTTTCGTGCCTCCGCACCGTCAGCCCCGGCAGGCAGCGATATCCAAGAAGCGGCCACGTCCTGGACTCATGGAGGCGGGCTCCGGACAAAGTCCCGGCCAGGTCCAGCAGGTCCAAGTTTAGGGTTTAGGGTTTAGGGTTTAGGGTTTAGGGTTTAGGGTTTAGGGTTTAGGGTTTAGGGTTTAGGGTTTAGGGTTTAGGGTTTAGGGTTTAGGGTTTAGGGTTTAGGGTTTATCCGGCCAGGCTTTGCGCGTGGCTGCTTCACCCCCTAGCCACCTGACCGCACGATGAGCACCTTCACAGGTTTCGGCGGGATGTTTCGGATTCAGACGTGTCGCTTGAGAAGTTGCATGATGAGACATTCTGAGGCGGGCTTTTCCGTGGACTCGTGCCAGTACGAAGCCGAGCATTGGGCATCGTGAGTTGTTTTTAAGCGGCGCATTGGCCAGGAAATTTGGGGGAGCTGAAACCCTAAACCCTAAACCAAAACCCTAAACCCTAAACCCTAAACCCTAAACCCTCAGCCCTAAACCCTAAGTTGCAAAGCCCTCAACCCCCCAAACCCACGTGTTGAAACAGTGCTGTTGAGCTGTGGCCCAGCCACCCATGGTCTCCTCTCTCCGCAGGCGCTCTGCTGCTCTGCCGCGGGACCTACAGCGTTTCTGTTGGGTTACGAGGCCAGTGGCAGTCCTGAAGCCAAATGCCGTTTACTCGTGACTGCCTATAGGGCACTATAGCTTGCTTACATGTGGGTCTCAGTTTGTGGAGACCTGAAAGCCAAAAATGTGCTTGACGTGGGTTGTTGACATGGCGTTTGCTAGAGAAAAGTGTTGCAATTGTTTTGGAGAGCAGCTCGCAGACTTGTCAGCAAGCCGTCCGCAGATCCGGTCGCCTCATAAGGTTTCAGAGCTGAGAGCAGGGTAGTGGTGCTGATGGCCTGATACTTGTTTTCTTGAGCGTGACTTCGTTTCTCAAATCATGCATGTTTCCGGATCAGCTACTGGCCGGCCGAGGTGGTGCACGTGTCTGGTGGACCTGAAAAGTTATCAACAAAACAAATGGGGCGTTATGACATTCTAACCGTGTGAGACAGCTCAGCGACAGGTGCAGCGGGGCTCCAAGGAGGCCTAGCTTTATGTGTTTCGCCTGCGGGATTCCAGGCAGCACTTGGAAAGCAAGTCTTGTTTTTTTTTTTTTTTTTTCTGAACAGGTCTTGGAAGCAGGTCTTGTGGCCAAGGCGGTCGGGCCCTTGGTTCTCACACACACAGACAGTTCCGAGACGTCGCGGCCATGGAGTGCACGTGTTGCAGCAGATTGTGCAGTGGTGGCGAGTGCTGCGGCCTTTACATACGAAGGTTCGCTAGACTTGTGGCCTGTGCAACTTGCATCCCTTCTTTGCTGGCAAGTGGTAGAAGGTGGTCCGCACCCCATGCAGTCACGGAAGCTCAAGCAGCGCTCAGTACAAGGCTACCAGCCACACACAGAAATTGAAACACGCACACACACACACACACACACACACACACATGCACTGATGCGGACGTAGCTGCGCGCATAACATACTTCTCATCGGTCATGACCAGCCGAACCGACCGCCCCCGCCAGCTCCAGTTACACCAAACATGCCTTGACGCTTTTTTGCAGATTATGTCTACGATGCGACTCTGCATGTTGCAAAGGTGCAGGTGGCTGCTGTTCAGCCGTTCGACTTCTTCCGAACTTCTTGGCAGGCATCCCGCAGCACCCCCCATCAGAGCTTGCAATACTGACCCTGATGGCGAGATGGGTATTTCCCCAAATAGGGGTACCCCTAAACCCTAAACCCTAAACCCTAAACCCTAAACCCTAAACCCTAAACCCTAAACCCTAAACCCCAAATAGCCCAAAATACGATAGTCCTTATTTTGGGAACCTAGATGTCATTCTCGAGGCAGGGCTTCTACTGCCCCAGACAAGCGCCTCGCACTTGATGCGTGGCCCATGGGAGGCCAGCTTCTCTTCAGTGTTTTGTTAACGTTAAAGAAAGGGTTTGTAGGGTGTTTTTAACATTAAAAAGGGGTTTTTAACGTTTAAAAAGGGTTTGTAGGGTGTTTTTTAACATTAAAAAGGGTTTTTTAACATTAAAAGACCCTCCATGGGCCCAAGCGCATGTAGGTCTAAGATGGAGCAGGCGTTGCCGCCTCAGGTCATCACTACCGACGGTCCGCGGTCTCTTTGGCGAGGTCCTGCTGCAGCGCCACGGGATGCTTGGGGCATCCTTATTCTTGCTTTGTGGCGGGCTGTGCCAGTGGCAGAGGCCTCATTCCAACGCTCCTGCGGGACGTCTCTGCTGCCGGCGCTTTCTGGCAGTGCGCTCGGTGTGCTTACTTTGCGTAAAGAGTGCGGAAAGCTTTGCAGCGGGAGATACTTTGGTGGTGTAATTCTCGGGGCAGGTGCAGCTACATGTACCTGAGCCAGGCGATGTTGAGAGAGACTTCCCCAGAAGAGGACATCTTGCCCCAGTTGTGGAACCTTGTTCTTTTAGGCGCCTGCTTGATGCTTGAGGGCTCTGTAGTACCTTGTAGAGCAGTTTGGCCCGAGAGCAGGGATGATCCCGCAGCTCAACAGGTGTCTTCGGCCATGGCTCCAGTAGAGTGGATCTGCCAGCTGTGCCAAGACATCCTCTTGGAGCCCCTGACGCTCCCGTGCTGCGGCGAGTCCTTTTGCAAGACCTGCCTGCAGCAACTGAGTCATAGTAGGGTATCATTTTGTACACTTTTAAGGGTACCTTAAGCTCAATAAGGAAGAGACATGTAGATTTTTAGTACTATCCCAACCATGAACCAGGCAATGGACAGTTGTGAAGCTGGATGAGGGAGCACCCAAGGCCAGGTGTCCCAGTGGTTGTGGAAAGCAGATCGACTATCGCCTTCCGAGCGTGTCGAAGCTGCTCAGCAGCTGGCTGGAGTCTGCACATGGCAACGAGCTGGAAGAGCGCCGGAGGGACCAGGAGGAGGAGGACATCCATGGCTTCAGCCTCTGGCAGGAAGTCGCCGCCTCCCGTGACCTTCAAGTTGGCAGCACTCTGGCGATCGCCTTTGGAACCAGTGGTATTGTGATTGGCAGGCACGAGGAGGAAGACCGGGTCAAAGTGAAATTCGACACTTTTCTCTTTGGCATGAACGGAGTCTTCAACGTAACTGGGTAGTGCTTTGGGATAACTTTAAATTTCCCTTCCTTCCCTTTTAAGGGGGAACCTACTCATAAACAAATTTCCAAGGGCTTTAATAAGTTAAAGCACCACTCAGGTAAGTCCCGACGAGCTCTTGCCGCAGGTGCCTAGCGGCTTTGGGGTTCAGATCGGGCAGCGCGTCCTTGCCTCACAGGATCTCATCATCGGTTCTGCCGTGGCAGCCTAGTAGTAGAGTAGGTAACCTTTAACCTTTTTGGGGTAGTATAACCCCCTTATAATCCCAAAGGTTAACCTTTAATTCCCCCAGGTTACTGGACAACCCTAAACCCTAAACCCTAAACCCTAAACCCTAAACCCTCAACCCTAAACCCTAAACCCTAAACCCTAAACCCTAAACCCTAAACCCTAAACCCTAAACCCTAAACCCTAAACCCTAAACCCAAACTAAGGCAGTTCCCTTTGCAACCTTGGGAACGGTGCTCGGGCCCTCTGGCGTACCGGAGAGGATCGCGGTGCGGTTCGACAGCGTTGCGGAGGGCCAGCCCCATGACCTCTCCGTCCAAGCCTTTGAGATTCTGCCGCACGTGAACCTGATAGGCCATGTGTAGGGTTTAGGGTTTAGGGTTTAGGGTTTAGGGTTTAGGGTTTAGGGTTTAGGGTTTAGGGTTTAGGGTTTAGGGTTTAGGGTTTAGGGTTTAGCCTGGCAGTGTCGAAGAGCCTCCGGCTAGAACCGCCCGGCCCTTGAGGGGGCTTTAGGGAGCCCCTGTCCCCTGCCCCCTGCCCCCAGCAGCACGCTTTTTGATCCTCAGGCCCCTTCGCCACAGAAACTCCTATCCCGCAGCCACAGCTTGTCTCTTTCGTTCATTCGTTCATGAACTTCATGCGTGCGTTAACCATAAGAAGAATAAAATGACATGAAATGATGAAGTAAATTCGGTATTAGAACACGGTGTCTTTTCCTTTTCTTTGTTGCTGTGGTCTTGTACACCTATAGTCTATAGTTATAAGGGCTTGAGCACAGGATGGCAGATCATAAGTGAGCAAGCGAACAGAAGACGAAACCGTAGTGGACATGCTTGTGCGCTCCCTTCAGTTTACTTGTTTTATGCACCCGAAAAATGAGACAAATAAGCCTGCTGTGAAGAAGTACATGCAGTGGCAGCCGAAGTGAAAGCGAAGTGCTGATAGCAATAGTAGGTTTCTTCAGGTTTAATATGTTCACTGTGTGGTTTTGTGTATTTTGCTTAGGCACATTACTGGCACGAGGGAATGGGGAGGGGCAGGGTTAGGGAAGGACTGAAAAGAAGTGGAGTGTGCGGGACGATGCCTGGAGGCAGAAATCTGACTGACATACTCCCCAGCAGGGTCGATTTTCAAGCTGTTGTTTCTGGCTTGGATCAGAATTCAATGTGGTAGGCGGACTTGCTCACAAGTAGCAAGTCCTCTTTTTGTCGAAGTGTCCAGGCTTGGCATCATACAATATGGAGCAACTTTGTATCCTAAACCCTATATAACCCTAAACCCTAAACCCTAAACCCTAAACCCTAAACCCTAAACCCTAAACTCTAAACCCCTTAACCCCTTAACCCTTAACCCCTAAACCCCTAAACCCCTAAACCCCTAAACCCCTAAACCCCTAAACCCTAAACTGATGCAGCATCACGTGGCCGACCTCCGCAGGTGGGTTCAGAGTGGCCCAGAACGTGACCGCTGTGGAAAACATCATGCTGCAGGCCTCCTCTCAGTTCGCCCTTCTTCACTGAATTCAGGGTTTAGGGTTTAGGGTTTTCATTGAATTCAGGGTTTGAGGGTTCGAGGGTTTAAGGTTTGGGGTAGGGAATGTTCCCCCTTATACCAGCAATGCAGTCCGAAATAGCGGGTCGTCGTACCCCCTTCTTTGTCAAAAGACCCTTAAGGACTGTTAGTATAAGGGGGATTCAGGGGGAGCATCCCAAGTTTGGGGGTTTCTAGGGGTTTAGGGTTTAGGGTTTAGGGTTTAGGGTTAGATGACCTCAGAGGACACGATCTTGGTCCCCGAGGGCGCTGTGGGAAAAGTGCTCGCTCAGTACCTAGGCAGGCACCGGAAAGAATTTTTATAGGGGTTAGGGTTTAGGGTATTTAGCGTATTTAGGGCATTTAGGGTATTTAGGGTATTTAGGGTATTTAGGGTATTTAGGGTATTAGGGTATTTAGGGTATTTAGGGTATTTCGGGTATTTAGGGTATTTAGGGTATTTAGGGTATTTAGGGTATTTAGGGTATTTAGGGTATTTAGGGTATTTAGGGTATTTAGGGTATTTAGGGTATTTAGGGTATTTAGGGTATTTAGGGTATTTAGGGTATTTAGGGTATTTAGGGTATTTAGGTATTTAGGGTATTTAGGGTATTTAGGGTATTTAGGGTATTTAGGGTATTTAGGGTATTTAGGCTATTTAGGGTATTTAGGGTATTTAGGGTATTTAGGGTATTTAGGGTATTTAGGGTATTTAGGGTATTTAGGGTATTTAGGGTATTTAGGGTATTTAGGGTATTTAGGGTATTTAGGGTATTTAGGGTTTAGGGTATTTTGGGTGTTTTTGGGGTATCCAGATATTTTTTTCAGAGGGTTCTAAGGGCCATCCTAGGTACAGTGACACGCGCCTCACCGTCATGTTCGAGGGCAGACTGGATGGCCGCTCCGAGGCAGGAGTTTTCACACTTGGCGTTTTTTGGATGTTTTTATATACATATACGTATATATACGTATATATATATATATCTATACGTATATATACATATATATCTCAATATACTAGCATGAGGCATATAAACATACAAGCAATGAATCAGAATGAGTCTTTTAACTATAATTGTTGAATAATCTAGTAGTACAACCTTCCGAGATAGCCAGTGCTTCGGGTACCTCAGTGCGGCGTCTACAGTTTTATCAGTCTATGGGTAATTCTCTAAATTAGGGGCCCTTCTTGGGGTAATGAGGCACCTTTATAATAAAGACCCGGTATGGTCCCTTTTTGGAGGTTCAGAACTACCCATATCGCGTTTTTGCAACGCAAGTGTGATTAAGGGGTTTTAAGGGAGTAGTGGGGAGTACTAGGGACCCTTGGGTTACACACCCTCAACCCTAAACCCTAAACCCTAAACCCTAAACCCTAAACCCTAAACCCTACACCCTAAACCCTAAACCCTAAACCCTAAAACCCTAAACCCTAAACCCTAAACCCTTAACCCTAAACCCCCCTTGAACGCCCCCTCCCTTAAGAACCCCCTCGTGTGTGAGGCCGTGAACCTTTGCCCAAGGGTCATCAAGCCGAGCTGAAGCTGCGCCGACTCGAAGAGTGAAGATGCTTCAGCTCTACCACCCTAAACCCTAAACCCTAAACCCTAAACCCTAAACCCTAAACCCTAAACCCTAAACCCTAAACCCTAAACCCTAAACCCTAAACCCTAAACCCTCGGCTTCCCTGCGCCCCTTGCAACTGCACAGCTCTTTGGAGAGGTTCGCAACCCTGAACCCAACAAGCGCAATGACGCTCCCAAAGCGGCGCTGGAAAATCGAGGCAGTTGCGTGTTAAAAAAAGGAAAGCAGCCGTTGCTGACTCGTGGCTTGCTGGCTCTGCTATGTTTCATATATAGCAGTATACTAACATAAAGCATGTAAACATGCAACAGAAGTTCATAACAAAGTAGTAAATTGATATTATCGTTGAAGGATTCGGCAGTGTAGTATTATCACAATCAGAGTACGAAAAGAATTTAATGTACAGTGTGAAGCCCGTGTTAATGGTTGCCACAATCATAAGCCGCAAGTCGGTGAGCTTTCGTTGCAGGAGTTTGATGCTGCAGCCATGCGGCAGCGAGCCTTACAGTCTGCGTGCATCACCTCCGTTGGGGGGCCAAGGGAAGATGCTTGAGTGGCCAGAACTGCCTTCATCCTCAGGTCTAGGCTAGGATGTTGAGATGTGGTCTTCAAGACAGCGGTACCGGAAACATGCCCAATCTGTTTTAGTGGCCACATGAGATGGAGGGTCTTCACGCGATGTCAGGTTTGTGCGGCGGGCGCTGCCATCGTCACACAACCGATGGACGTGGTCAAGACGAAGATGCAGGACTGACGTTGTCTTCAAGGTGCAGTTGGAGCTGGCAACCCTAAACCCTAAACCCTAAACCCTAAACCCTAAACCCTAAACCCTAAACCCTAAACCCTAAACCCTAAACCCTGGTCCTGTGAAGATCCACCGGATGATGACCTCTCGAGATGATGGATTCAGGAGGGTCAAGGCCCAGCCTGGTTAGGAGTCAGTGTAGGATGATTGTGCTAGAACATGCCTTTACCAGATACTCCAGTTTCTTCCGTGTACGTCAACACTGTGCAAATGTCTATATATGGTATAGAAACGGATATACACCATACATGCTGTATAGACGATCAGATGACGATATTTTACACAAGCAAGGAAGACGTAGGAAGGGGAGGCTTCTGCCCGCGATCTGCTCGCAGGTGGCTCGTTTCTTCGCAACTTTCCGGGAGACGCACCAGGCCACAGGCCTGGCCAGAGGGTTTAGGGTTTAGGGTTTAGGGTTTAAAGTCAAAAATCTAAGGAGACCGTGACACCTGACAGTTCTTCTTAGGTGTCATCATGATTCTTCGTATGTTCTTCAGATAGTTTGAGGCTTGCATATTTCTTTACCCTTGCTTCTCTTGTCGTTGTTGGTTTGGCCTTGAGTCAACCCTCATGTCAAGCCTGTGCGGCATCTTTTGGGACCCCGTACCCTAAAGCCTAAACCCGAAGCCCTAAACCCTAAACCCTAAACCCTAAACCCTAAACCCTAAACCCTAAACCCTAAACCCTAAACCCCAAACCCTAAACCCTAAACCCTAAACCGTAAACCTTGGAGGCCTTCGGGGTCTCTGGGCTGGTGGCAGTGCGCGGCTTTGCATGGCAGCAGCCGCCGGCATGCTCCTTGGCCTGGGCCCTCACATCTGCAGGGTTTAGGGTTTAGGGTTTAGGGTTTAGGGTTTAGGGTTTAGGGTTTAGGGTTTAGGGTTTAGGGCTGCGTTAGGACTCTTCTGGCTGGTTCTTAGTAGGGAATGAGGGAATGAGGGCCCTATATATACCCTTTAAGGGATGATATAGGGTACCTATATTTACCCTTTAAGGGATTATATAGGGTACCTATATATACCCTTTAAGGGATTATTTAGGGTACCTATATTTACCCTTTAAGGGGTTCTATAGGGCCCTCATTCCCCTCATTCCCTACTCAGAACCGGGGGGTCTTGGTTGGTGGAGGAGCACCTGGGTTTGCAAAGATTTAGAGGGGCTGATCTTATGGGGTTTAGGGTTTAGGGTTTAGGGTTCTCACTCCTTCATGCAGGTCCCGCCTTGGAGTATGCGCAGCTCATCAGCAGCGATGCCACCAGGTGCACTGAAAGTGCCTCAAAACCCTAAACCCTAAACCCTAAACCCTAAACCCTAAACCCCAAGCCCCAAACCCTAAACTCTAAACCCTAAACCCTCCATGTGGCTTCGAAAACTCGAACTTTCAACGCCCTTGGGAGGCCTCTGCGAAGGCAGCTGGACCTCGGAGAGGCCGGCCGAAAATACTCGAAAAATGTAAGACTAGAAAGAAAAACGTTGCAATACTCAAAAAAAGAGAATACTATATTGAATACATTGTTCAAAGAGTAGAATCATGAGTAATAGAATACTAAAATAATGGAGTAGTAGATGGAATAATCGAGTAATCGAATAATAGAATTATAGAATAATGGAATAGTAGAATAATAGAATACTAGAATAATAGAATAGTGGAATAATAGAATAATAGAATAATAGAATAGTAGAATAATAGAATAATAGAATAATAGAATAATAGAATAATAGAATAATAGAATAATAGAATAATAGAAGAATAGAAAAAATAGAAAAATAGAATAATAGAATAGTGGAATAATAGAATAATAGAATAATAGAATAATAGAATAATAGAATAATAGAATAATAGAATAATAGAATAATAGAATAATAGACTAGTAGAATAGTAGAATAATGAGATTAAAAATGTAATAGAATAATAGAATAATAGAATAATAAAATAATAGAATAATAGAATAATGGAATAATAGAATAATAGAATAATAGAATAATAGAATAATAGAATAATGGAATCATGGAATAATAAAATAACGGAATAATCGAATAGCCGAATTATCGAATAATCGATTAAAGGAATACTAGAATGATCGAATGTTAGAATAATAAAATAAACGTTTGTTTAATAGAAGACTGGAATAGTGGATGACCAGAATAATGGAACAATAGAATAGAAGAATAACAGAATAATGGCATACTAGAATAGAATAATAGAACATTGGAATAGTAGAAGAATAGAAGAATAGAAGAATAGAAGAATAGAAGAATAGAAGAATAGAAGAATAGAAGAATAGAAGAATAGAAGAATAGAAGAATAGAAGAACAGAAGAACAAAAGAACAGAATAATCGAAGAATAGAAGCATAGAAGAATAGAAGAATAGAATAATAGAAGAATAGAATAATGGAATAATATCATAAGTTTCTAGTATTATCATAGAAAAATAGAAGAATGGCTTCAATGGAATAATAGAACAATAGACTCATAGAATAATAGATTAAATAGACTAATTGAATAACAGAATAATTAATAGAATATTAGAACAATAGAATTGGAATACCGGAATAGTCGAAGAATAACAGATTTTTCTTCGATCATGATAGAATAATAGAAGCATGGTTTCAATGGAATAATAGAATAGTAGACTAGTAGAATGATAGAATAATTGAATAACAGAATGATTAATAGAATGATAGAACAATAGAATAATAGAACAATAACCATAGAACAAATAGAATTAAAAATATTAGAAAAATGAAGTAATGGAATACTCGAATCATAAAATAGTAGAATAGTAGAAATATAGGGTAACAATAGAATAGTAGCATAATTAATTATTATTATTATTATTATAATAGAATAATAGAAGAATGGTTTCAATAGAATAATAGAAGAATGAAGAATATACTAATGTAATACTAGAATAATCGTATATTGGGAGAATAGAATAATAGCAGAATGGAATAATCCAATAGTCAAATAGTCGAATAATAGACTATTCGACGCATAGAATAGCAGAATCATAGAATCACCGAATCATAGAATCACAGAATCAGAGAAGAATCGAGTAACAAAAAATTGAATTTTGTACTGCAAGTATATGCCGTTTTCTCATGCCGTTCTCACCAGGACCCTGGCCGAACCATCGTTCATCCGCGGGCATCGAAGGAAATGTTCATCGCAGCTTTGCTGCAGCTTCGAGCAAGCCACGTTTTTTCTCGGTGATTGTCTACTTCTACATGTGCCGGCGCTGAGGACGTGAAGCTTTAACGCTTGTGAGCAAAACACAGCTCCTGCACCCGTCCGCTTGCACTGCTGTTGCCTTTGTGCTGGACACTGAGACTGATTGGCCATGATTGGCTTGTACTGAGCTTGTGTCTAACCCTAAACCCTAAACCCTAAACCCTAAACCCTAAACCCTAAACCCTAAACCCTAAACCCTCAACCCTAAACCCTAAACCCTGATTCCGTCAAACCCGCAGCGTTTTGCATATGCCGACTTAGCGACCAAAGATTGGCAAAGTGTCAGAGCAGTGCGCCCGAGCGCGCATCGAGTGCCAGGAGCCAAGCTTCCCGCCTCGCTGCTTTGTTTAAGCCTTCGAAGTTTTGGGCAGCCATATATGGTATCATTAGATCATTCTGTTAGAATAATTATATGTTAGATTAGATTATTAGGATATTCTATGGTCTTATTCGTATATCATTGATTATTTTATCATTACATTATTCTATCAGGTGCGCCAGCCTTCGGCGTTGAAGACCGTTGAGTCGGACAGGGCTGTTTCAGTCTCGCTAGGGTTTAGGGTTTAGGGTTTAGGGTTTAGGGTTTAGGGTTTAGGGTTTAGGGTTTAGGGTTTAGGGTTTAGGGTTTAGGGTTTAGGGTTTAGGGTTTAGGGTTTAGGGTTTAGGGTTTAGGGTCTCTGATTGTGCATCGAGTCCTGCACGACACTGTCCATTCGGGTGCCGCTTGCAATTTGGGGTTTGCCGGAAATGGGGGTACCTTTTTTTGGGGATTCCTAGAATAAGGGATTATACTAGTTGGGGGTTTGGGATGTTCCAACTCATTCTCACAGTCCTCAGTAGCAGGATTTTAGGATCCCTAAACCCTAAACCCTAAACCCTAAACCCTAAACCCTAAACCCTAAACCGTAAACCCTAAACCCTAAACCCTAAACCCTAAACCCTTTGTTTTTTAATACAGTTCTTGCAGAGAGAAGAACTCGTCTGAAGTCAGGAGCTCGAACTTCGCGGCCGAGCAAGGCCCGGATCTTCCCTCTGGTTGAGGGTTTAGGGGGTTTAATGGGGTTTAGGGTTTAGGGTGTTTAGGGTTGAGGGTTTAGAGTTTAGGGTTTTGGGGTTTTGGGATGATTTTGTGTGTGCAGATGGACGACGACGCTGCTGGCGGGGACGCCGGTTTCGATGAGGACTTCGATGAGGATCAGGCTGGGGCAGACACTGCTGAGTCAAGGTTGCGTGGTAACTCATTGTCTACGGTGCCATGAAGTGACGATGTAGTGGCAATGGGTGTGATGGAAGACAGGCGTCTGACCTCGGCGATGGAGACCTCCCAGAAATGGACGGAGGCTTTGGAGAGAGTAACCCTAAACCCTAAACCCTAAACCCTAAACCCTAAACCCTAAACCCTACACCCTAAACCCCCTAAACCCTACTATCGTCACGCGCACGCGTCGCGCAGGCGATGACGATGCGGCAGATGACTTCGACATGGATGCTCGGGCAACCTGGCGGAGTTGGGCTGGGATACTTGGAGGTTCATGGTTCTTATTGGCCACTTTAGGGTTTAGGGTTTAGGGTTTAGGGTTTAGGGTTTAGGGGTACTTATTAACCAATTATAGCTGTACTTATTGCTGTACTTAGAACCCCTTAAATGCCCCAGGAGGTTCATGGCTCTTATGAACCAATTATGACTGTATTTCTAACGGTACTTGTAACCATATTATAACCGTACTATGACTGTATTGAATTATAGCTGTACTTGTAGCTGTACTTAATTGTAACTGTACTTATAACGACATTAGGGCACTTGAGGGGCTTATAAGTGGGTTATAAGTACAGTTATAATAGGTTAATAAGCACCATGAACCTCCAATTAGGGTTCTGCCGCACGATCGCATTTCTCCTCTGCACGGACAAGGCCGAAACATCGGGAGGTAAGATGCGCTTGAGGTACAAGAGTAGTAGCAATGGATACAATCCTGGCAATCGTGGTGAAACACAGCAATTAAAATCATCAAAACAGCAAAGAAGGGTGATAGAACGCACGATCCATACTGGTTAGTGACATCTCACATGAAAACTGAAGGCCCAACCCATGATCCCTTTTCACTCGGAACGGAAGCTCCCTGGCGGGAGCCGCAAGAAGGGCTTAATGAGGACAACGGTGCTGAGATGTGCGAGGGAAGGCGGTTGAGTTTTTTTTTTTTTACTTTGTTTCTTCGAACCCCAAAACCCCCCCAAAAGGGATCCCAATTCAGAGAGCTACCCATAATAATGGAACAGTTTAGGGTTTAGGGTTTATGAGAATGGAATGGTCTAGTATGATGTAGTGGTATCCTGGGGTTTAGGGTTTAGGGTTTAGGGTTTAGGGTTTAGGGGTTTAGGGGTTTAGGGGTTTAGGGGTTTAGGGGTTTAGGGGTTTAGGGGTTTAGGGGTTTAGGGGTTTAGGGGTTTAGGGTTTAGGGGTGCTTCATCAAATGCCAGGTTGGCCATTTGTCGCGGGCAGACATTGCCGACCTGTCTCCTCAGGCCTGAGAATCTGCAATGTGCAAGCGGGTTTAGGGTCTAGGGTTTAGGGTTTAGGGTTTAGGGTTTAGGGTTTAGGGTTTAGGGTTTAGGGTTTAGGGTTCACGCGCAGCCCAAGTGTGCTTTGGAGGAGCAGCTGCAGAAATGGCATGAGATGCTACTCTCAGCGGAGGCCTACCTCTGACTGCCTTTTACTTTTTTCGTTACTTTTTTCGAAGAGTGGAGCATGGAAATTTGGTTTTCAAAGCGCGAGACAGCTTTTCGGAGGTCGACCTCATATCGGAGTTAGATGCCGGAGTCTCAATTGGGCCAGTTCTTGCATGAGTTGAAGGTTTTAGGGATTAGGGTTTAGGGTTGATGGGAGGTAGAAGGGGGTGAATACCAAGATAGGTAGATATATCGATTGCTGGTGTCGCTGACATGTTTAGTGAACATCCAGGTGTGACGCGCTCGTTTCGTTTTCGGGAATGGTGCCTGTCTGTTTTTCCGTCTTCAGGATTGTAAGATGCCTGTCTGCATCGCTAAGCACGCAAAGCTCCGTTCGTTTGTCTCAGCACAAGCTTCTGCCAACCTCGGATGCCTTTCCCAAGCGCAAGCACCCCAGCACCCGAATCGTGGCGGTGCGGAGGGCCGCACAACGCGAACAGAACGAGGATGCAGAGAGTTTAGGGTTTAGGGTTAAAGTTCAGGGTTTAGAACTCAGCTGCCTCTGACTCCACAGCATCTTATGTCAAGTTCTCGAATGTCGAAGCTCTTTGAAGAATCTATGCGGTCTTCCGATCAGGTCACACACCTGTAGATGAGAGCAGCACAAAGCTAGGGCAATTTGATGCATTGTGTCGGCAATTACGGGTGTGGGTTTTGCGGAATGCAAAATCCCGAGAGGACAAAACTGCCCAGTAGTTTGCATACAAAAACATGGAAAAATAAACGTCGTAAGCTTTGCCACACGGCCGCATACAACCCGTTCATGCCCGCTGTCCTGTGTGGTATAGGCAAGGGCAAGCTGTTTGTAGTATGCATGCCGCTTTGACAGTCACTTCAAGCAGCGCTGGCTGTATTGCTCCTTTTCGCGAGATTAGTCCCATACGATTAGCACCATTCTACAAGAAAAAAAGCCCAAACAGAATGCATCGAACCGGAGCGGTTCAAGTTGTTGGGAAGAAGAAGCAAGAAGTTTCTATAGCAACACTGCGCCACTACACTCCTGACTAAAGTGACGCAGTTCGCGGGCATTCTCTTGGATGCGCTGGATTCTCCTGCTCCCGACAGCGTGTGCAGTGCACTCTGCCCCTGCTGGCACAGTCGGGGTGGAGAACCCGACGAAGTCCCACAAGAGGGTGGGAAGTCGAAGGAGCTGAACACGTGCAACGAGCCGGCGCTCAGCTCGTGTTAATACGCGCACGCGTGGGCGCGCTCACAGAGGACGAACATGCGTGAGCCGCAGCCGACGGGGCTCTTGGGTAGGCGCAAGAGCCCGTGACCGCGAACGTTAGGATGGTGAGAGGGCGTTGTGCCACCCCCCCAGCGACCAGTTTCCGGCCCGCGGCCCATTCGTTCGACCCAAGAGCCAGAAGGGAGCCATGAAGGGAGCCTCCGTGAAAGCCATTTTGGGAGCCATTTTCTGGACCCGCGCCCACCTATTCGACCCTCAAGCCAGAAGGAGCCCTGCACCGTGAAGGGAGCCGGCCACCGCGGCCCACCTGTACCTGTTTCGGGAATAACATGATAAATCGTCAAAAGCATAGAAAGATGTTCAGGTTTTTTGCAGATTTGTGCAGTGATTACATTCATTCAATACATGAAGTAGTTCGTTGAACATAATTGCAACACTGCGTTGGACTGTGATGTACTCGTGCAGTCCAAGTTGCACGTTGTGAATGTGGTCAAGTGGTCACTGTGCATGTGCGCTGTTCTGTCTGTCTGTCTGTCTGTCTGTCTCTCTCTCTCTCTCTCTCTCTACTGGTAGCTGTCTGACTGCACGTCTCTACCATTGGCAGTTCTTAGTTGTCGTTCTTTGTTGCTGAAGATAAATGACCCTGGCACGTCAACTGTTCGGTTCGATAGTTAGGTTTGTCTTGCTATTGTTGTTTAGGGTTTAGGGTTTAGGGGGTGAGTTGCCCCTTTTTCTGAGTGAACTTGCTCCATTTGCGATCTGCTTCCCTTGACCGCATGAACCTGTACCTCACCAAAATACGCCCTTCTGTCCTGCGCACTCGTCATTCCGTTCGGGAGCGCGAGACCGGTCACATCAGGCTCGATGTCGCAAGAGTCGAGCATGGGCGCGAAGGATGTTTTGTGTGTGTTTTTGTGGCCAGCTGGCTGTGCTTGCAAACGTTTGTGCACTTTCACCTTGGGGCCAAGGCTTCGAACATCTTCTTCATCAACGCAGAGTCCATCATCTGTGACCTACGCCTCTCTGCGGAGGCATTCGATGCCTTATTGTTTGCCCAACGCCGTTTGCGCAAAATCAGCAGGATGGCCCGTGCGAAAGTCGCAGCTCGGGATGTTCCCCCTTGTGCTAAGAGTCCTTCATAGGGATTATGGTCCCCCCCCCCTTTATTATTATTATTATTATCCCTATTCAGGAATGTTAGTAGAAAGGGGGAACATCCCAAGTCACAGCCGACGATTGTTCATGGTTTTTGTCGTGTTTGGTGTGAGGTACTTCGAGGTTCATGGTACTTAATAACCCAATTATAAACTGTACTTATAACCCACTTATAAGCCCTTGAAGTACCCTAGTATGGTTCTAGGCACAGTTATAAGTACAGTCGGTTAATAAGCACCCTGAACCTTCGAGTAGGATGTCTGTGCGAGGTCAATGAGGATGGCCAGTTCCTTCGGATGACCTTCATGGTCGAGCAGCTGCTCTCCAGTATCAAGTCCTGTGGTGGTGTGTACAGGCCTTTCGGCCTTTCCAAAGGCTTCAACCTCAAGCCCTAAACCCTAAACCCTAGATGCTAAGAAGTAAACCCTAAACTTGCCTGACACACATGCGGGTCAGGATCATCTTCTTTGATGCTTTCAAGCACGTCTTCAGCATGCAGTTCGAAGACTCGCTTTGGGCGTTTAGGGAGGCGCGTCGGGGGATCGCCATCCCAACACCTTACTGTTGGTTAGCAGGGAATGAGGGAATTAGGGCCCTATATATACCCTTTAAGGGATTATATAGGGTGCCTCATTCCCCCTTCCCTACTAACCAACAGCACCAGTTGAGGATCGTTGCTGATCAGCCTGCTGACCTTGCTGTGAAGCAGACGCGTCCTGTCAGGCTTTCTTGAGCCACTGTCGGAACAATGGCATTGACCACGCAGTCTTCTCCCACTGGCAACGCGGCTCACATGTCTGCATCGCCGGTTCAGATTCTTGGACTCTATCAACATCTGGTTCTGTCCATTCCGTGGCCTCAGGTATTCGCCAGAGTGGAAGGAGCACGTGTCCACATGGAGGTGTCTCCGCACAACCTCGGACATCCTGGTTTAGGGTTTAGGGTTTAGGGTTTAGGGTTTAGGGTTTAGGGTTTAGGGTTTAGGGTCTGATTGAAGGGAGATGTGCCCCTTGTTCTGACTTCTGACGAGGCCGTCCTTTTTTCTCCTAGCTGACGACGGCCTCGCAGTTGAGGATGAAGAGGCCAAAAGCCCCAAAGCCCCAAGCTTCCTCTCAAGACGTGTCGAGAGAAGACCTTGGAAAGCAGGAGGACGAGGAGGAGGCCGAGCAGAACGCCAAGCTAAGGGGCTCCTTTCAGGCGCTGATGCTCAGGCGCCCTTGCTTGCAATTTTGTTCCACCTCTCGGACTGCCGAACTTGGAGGTTCTTTGCTGCGTGCAGGTGCTTGTCCTACAAAGTTCACGTCGCTCTACTAAAGGGCTTGCAGCGACGCGGCAATCGTGCGAAGCTCAGATGCCGCCTCTCAAGTCGGGACTTCGCAGACGATGCTGCCCGAGGCGTCATGGCCTTCACGCTAGAGCCCGACAACCACGATTTATTCATTGACAAAAACGTCCAGGCACTCAATGAAGACCAGCACTAGGAGACATGTGCCGGTTTGGCATGGTGCTGTCATGTGCTGTCCACATGAGTCCACATGATTCAGCCATCGTTGCTGCCAAGCAGAGCTGCATGGCCACGCAAGCGCCCATTTTCTTCTGAGCCTAAACCCTAAACCCTGAACCCTAAAGCCCTAAGCCCTAAACCCTAAACCCTAAGCCCTACACTTTAAACCCTAAACCCCAAACCCATAAACCCTAAACCCATAAACGACCCCAAACCCTAAACCCTAACCCGAGAATTGCGGCAGGGTGCTCTCCAACCACTCCTCGAAGAGGAGGATGAGGATGAGGATGAGAATCAGGAGAACGGGACATCCCAAAAGACCCTCAGCCCTAAGCCCCTAAACCCTTAATCCTAACCCTAAACCCTAAACCCCTAAACCTAAACCCCAAACCCATACACCCTAAACCCATAAACTACCCTAAAACCTGAACCCTACTGTAACCCTAAACCCTAAACCCTAAACCCTAAACCCTAAACCCTAAACCCTAAACCCTAAACCCTAAACCCTAAACCCTAAACCCTAAACCCTAAACCCTCAACCCTCAACCCTCAACCCTAAACCCTCAACCCTCAACCCTCAACCCTAAACCCTAAACCCTAAACCCTCAACCCTCAACCCTAAACCCTAAGCCCTAAACCCTAAACCCTCAACCCTTAACACTCATCCGAAACCCTAAACCCTAGGGGGGGGTCCTTTTTCTTCGTAAACCCCCGCGTGTCGCTCCAGGAGTCACCTGTACCGGCCCTGGTGGCTTTCAAGAAGCGCGGTGATGGGAAGGCCCACAGCCGGGGAGCCGGTGCGTGGTTTAGGGTTTAGGGTTTAGGGTTTAGGGTTAGGTCTCAACCCCAGGCCCTGCAATCTTTTCTAAAGCCTGGAGTGTTCCATGGTGATCTCTGGTGTCAGGTACAAGAGACCGCTTTACTCCGGTGCTTTCTCGTCGCGAGCTTCTGCAAGGACACATTGGCGCCCGCCTCAGCTTCCGCCAAGCCAGTCTTCGGGACCCCGAACCCTAAACCCTAAACCCTAAACCCTAAGCCCTAAACCCTAAACCCTAAACCCTAAACCCTAAACCCTGAACTCTAAACCCCAAACCCCAAACCCCAAAATTCTTGAGCTCGGTTTCTCCAGCCCTGCTTCTGATGCACCCTGCACTCCCCGAGGCGATCAAAGCCGATCCAGCTTCGCCGCCTGTCCTCAGGTTTTGAGGTCTTTTTGCGGGGCTCCTTTTTTCCTAAACCCTAAACCCTAAACCCTAAACCCTAAACCCTAAACCCTAAACCCTAAACCCTAAACCCTATACCCTATACCCTAAACCCTAAACCCCTTTGTGAGTTTTTGGGTTGTAGTCCTTGGGGCTTGGGGTTGCGGGTTTTTGGTTTTTGGTTTGGGTGAACTAGGGTGACGTTGGGCGTTGAAGGGCTTGGAATCTGGCTCCTGTGATGTCCGGCGTGCCTCTTCGCATGTAGCTCGCTAGCCCTAAATTTTAAACCTTAAACCCCAAACCCTAAACCCCAAACCCCAAACCCCAAACCCCCAAACCCTAAACCTTAAACCCTAAACCCTGAACCCGAAACCCTAAACCCTAAATCCCAAACCCTAGACCCTAAACCCTAAACCCTGAACCCTAAACCCTGAACCCTGAACCCGAAACCCTAAAGTCCGATGCTAAGGATGGCGCTCATGAAGCTTTTCGTCAAGGTCATGCTGATCCAGGATCTTGTCGGGTGAAACAACCCTGATCTTCTTACGGCTTAGGGTTTAGGGTTTCGGGTTTGGGGCTTGGGGTTTGGGGTTTAGGGTTTTTGGTAGAGTTTGGCTTTAGTGCCAAGAACCAACCTTTCCAGGGCACAAGGTGCAGAGTGTAGAAGGCCGCCCTACACCCGAAAACCTGAAGTAAGCTCTATTCTCTTCATATGGTTTCAGGGATTTCTGAAACCTTCAACCCTAAACCCTCAACCCTAAACCCTCAACCCTAAACCCTCAACCCTAAACCCTAAACCCTAAACCCTGAACCCTAAACCCTCAACCCTAAACCCTAAACCCTAAGCCCTAAGCTCTTGGAAGCAACGGAAATTCAGAGGCGGGGGATCATGGCTTCGGTGGCGGCGAGAAGTCCCGCAAAGCTAGCTCTTTGGGGTCGGGGAGGGCAGGGGCTTAGGGTCTAGGCTTTAGGGTTTAGGGTTTAGGGTTTAGGGTTTAGGGCTGAGGGCTTAGGGCTTAGGGTTTAGGGCATGTGGGTCAGCTAGGCGGGGGTGCCCATTACTCTGCGGCCCGATTCCTCGGCGGAGAAACTAGACAAAATGGTAAAACTGTATCATCACAAGCATACGAACAGAAAAAACACCATAACATAAGTGTACCCTAAACCGTAAGCCCTAAGCCCTAAACCCTAAACCCTAAGCCCTAAACCCTAAGCCCTAGACCCTAGACCCTAAACCCTAAACCGTATGCCCTATATCTTTTGAACATTATTCTAAGCGAATCTAGCTTCAGGACTTGAAGACCAGGGCTATGGTGGTCTTCAGTAAGTGCCTTCACCACGTGTCCGCGAGGGGTCAGTATGTAGTTTGGTGCCAAGAGCAGTCAACGTTCTTAAGCCCTGAACCCTAAAACCTAAACCATATGGATATTTCCCAAAATAGGGGTACCCCTTTGACATCCCAAATAGAGTAGAATCCCCTTAAAAGGGCACCTCCCAGAAGGGTGCCCCCTATTTTCGGAAACCCCCATATGCTGTCATGTTCTTCTCTTCCCACAGAAGGCCCATCCATCTTCTTGCGGGTCTCCGATCTCTTGACAGTAGTCAAATGTAGAAGGCGAATTTTGGGATATACTGGGATTCTGCTGGTTATGGGTTTGGGGGTGGAAGTGTGGGAGGAGATGATGCTGCGCTACGTGCCTTTGGACAAACGAGCGTGGAGCACTCAACCAGATGGCTGCTGCAGCAGATTTCCTCGTGCTCAGCCTCTGCCTGCTGCAGAGGTTTACAACAATCGCAAGTGATGCGTGGGAGCTGTACGCCGAGTCCATCAGTGGTGCCCTGGACAGGCAGCGCGTTGCTGTTGGCTGCTGTTTCGCTGGTGTTTCCACACCCAACTCAAACACAGTTGCCTTCTGGCCACGGCATGATGCACAGACGGTTGTTAGGATGGCATGGTCGATCCATTAGCTTCTCGGGCTTAGGCCAGTATGCATCACACCATTCCAGCTATTCTCAGGGGGTCAGGAGTGCATAACAAGGAGGAGTGTGAGCGAGATCGTTGGTCTGCGTGGGACGCATTTTGCAAATTGCTTCGGGAGCTGCTCGGTAGCCCCACCCTAAACCCTAAACCCTAAACCCAAAACCCTAAACCCTAAACCCTAAACCCTAAATCCTATACCCTAAACCCTAAACCCCTAGACCCTAAATTCGCATCAAGAGCCTTTGTGCCCTGTACTGTTGTGAGGTTTTACGCGTTCATCTCCAAAGTTCCTTGGCATGCATGGGAGACCGCACCAGGGTTTAGGGTTTAGGGTTTAGGGTTTAGGGTTTAGAGTTTAGGGTGTACCTGATCAGGAGCTCGGGAGGTTGAACCGGGAGCCTGAGGCGGCGCTGCAGGCCGGAAGCCGCACCATACCAGCATAACAGTACAAGAATATATAGAATATGAGCATATGTTAGTAGAATAATATGACTACATGGTAACATAGTAATATAGTAATATAGAATATAGAGTAATATAGTAATACAGCAATATAGCAATATAGCAATATAGCAATATAGAAATATAGCAATATAGTAATATAGGAATATAGTAATATAGTAATGTAGTAGTATGGTATGGCAAAGTCGACGATGCATTGAGCCTGGCTCAGGGCTTGAAGCTGGACGCCTGCGATTTGTTTGATGGCTCCAACCTTACTGAGCAAGAGCTGTGACCTTGCGGTTGCGCAATTTGTTAATACTTATGCTGATATATATATATATATATGTACTTTTTTTAATATATTAATATTCATATGAATATGAAATATGAATATTCATAATATTAATATTAATATTTGTATTCATATTAATATTACTTTTAATAATAAATAAAAAATTACAGCATAAAAAACTAAATAAATAAATAAATAAATATATATATATATATATGTGTGTATATATATATACGCATATACGTATATGGGAACAGTGACAGTAGCAGTTGGCAATGGTGCGAAAGTGTGTTGCCGAGTCTCTTTTTGCCGGCAGAGAATCGGAAGGGACTTCGTAGCTCAGGCCGCCTCTTCCGACATCTTTTCCGCTTCATTGTGCGTGCCTGAGACACCCGACCCGTAGCCTCGAATGTGGGTCTTTTCTCCAGGTGGTAGAACCAAGCCCTAAACCCTAAACCCTAAACCCTAAACCCGAAACCCTAAACCCTAAACCCTAAACCCTAAACCCTAAACCCTAAACCCTAAACCCTAAACCCCAAACCCGAAACCCTAAACCCTAAACCAAACTGACCAAGTGTTGAGTGCAGCACATTGTGGGCAGTGCTCAGGTGGAGACGGGCTTGTCGGAGAAGAGCAAAGAGGCCTGGCTGCTGAAGGGTACTACATGGAGTTCCCTGACGTTTAGGGTTTAGGGTTTAGGGCTTAGGGCTTAGGGTTTAGGGTTTGGGGTTTGGGGTTTAGGGCTTAGGGTTTAGGGCCCACTTCTCTAAACATATGGTCCCTTTTTAGGAACCCTTATGGTAAGGCGGCCACACCTCTTGTGTGGGGTACCTAAAAAGGGGCATGGTGGATCTCACCTGTGAGCAGGTCAAGGCGGATGCCTTCAAGTTCAGCTCCTACATTGTGGAGGAGTTGGACTTCCTGTGGTCAGAGGCAGCAACGGAGCAGCTGATGGCTGCTGCACATGCCAGCTCTAAACCCCAAACCCCAAACCCCAAACCCCAAACCCCAAACCCCAAACCCCAAACCCCAAACCCCAAACCCCAAACCCCAAACCCCAAACCCCAAACCCTAAACCCTAAACCCTGAACCCTAAGCCCCAACCCTAAGGCCACAGCATGTCTGCCTGAACGGCATGCAGGCATCTTCCAAGGAGAAGTTCTTCCCGCTGAAAATCTCAGCAATGAAGGATGCCCTGCAAGAATAGTTGAGGATTTGGAGGGTAGGGTCTAAGGTTTAGGGTTTAGGGTTGGGAGGTTTAGGGTTCAGGGTTTAGGGTTCAGGGTTCAGGGTTTGGGGTGTAGGGTGTAGGGCTTAGGGTGTAGGGTTCTGCACAATCCCTCTGCCGCAATCCTCGTCCCGCCTCTGGGAAGCTGTGGCTTCTCAGGACCTGGAGGGCCTGGAGCCACCAGACCTTCCAGATCAGGCAGGGGCGGTCCAGCACTGTTTATGGGGTTCTTAAAGGGGGGGTTTAGGATTTAGGGTTTAGGGTTTAGGGTTTGGAGTTTAGGGTGTAGGGTTTAGGGTTTAGGGTTTAGGAGGGACGGGGGTATCATGGGGGGTAGATGCCTAGGGTTACATACCCCCCCCTGAAAGCCCCCTTTTTTTTGCCTTTGTGCCAGCAGCTATCGCCAGGCGCGGGTCCGGGAGAGACCTTCGCTTTTCAAGATTCAGCTGGGCCCTCGCGGGAGCAAATGCGTTCGGGGTTTGTGCTCCTAAGCTTAAACCCTAAACCCTAACCCTAAGCCCTAAACCCTAAGGCCTAAAGCCTAAGGCCTAAACCCTAAACCCTAAACCCTAAACCCTAAACCCTAAACCCTAAACCCTAAACCCTAAACCCTAAACCCTAAACCCTAAACCCTAAACCCTAAACCCTAAACCCTAAACCCTAAACCCTAAACCCTAAAAGGCTGACGGCTCATGTTCAGCCCATTGAGGTCCGGGCTCTTCGACGCCATGTGGAAGGACACTGACGTCTTGTGCCACGTGTAGCTGACACAGGGTCGAATTTGTTGCCGAATCACCCTCAACCCTACTAGTAACCCTCAACCCTCAACCCTCAACCCTCAACCCTAAACCCTAAACCCTAAACCCTAAACCCTAAACCCTAGACCTTGAACCCTGAACCCTGAAAGCCAGCCTAAAGCTCATTGCGCCATTGTTGTTCCCTCTGAGCCAGGAGAAAGCAGACAACCTGAAGGAAATCGACGAGGTCCACTCAAAGAACCATGCCGCTAGAAGCTCTTACATCTACCCCAAGCCCTACTCCAATGACCTAAACCCTAAACCCTAAACCCTAAACCCCAAACCCCAAACCCCAAACCCCAAACCCCAAACCCCAAACCCCAAACCCTAAACCCTAAACCCCAAACCCCAAACCCTAAACCCTAAACCTCAACGCCAGGATGAGGCTGCCGATCCTCCACTTCTTTGGGACAGGCACCGTGGCCTCACTTGCCTCTTAGTTTAGGGTTTAGGGTTTGGGGTTTGGGGTTTAGGGCTTAGGGACTTTAACCTTTTTTTGGAGTTTTGTAGAAACCTACAATCAGGAGCCTAAAAGTTAAGCTTCTAGGAGGGGGCCAATAGTCAGCCAAGTGAGCCTGTGATGGCCGTGGAGCTGAGGTATAGCTGGAAGCAAGGCGTCCGAGTGGATGCCATTCAAGAGGCCTCGACGCATTTCAGTACGGATGCTTCTGCACTTGGACTTTCACTCAGGTTCAGGAGATGGAGAAGAATGAAGCTGAGAAGAGGATGGAGCAGAAGATGAGGCTTCAACATGCATGCACAAGACAGCGGCTTCAGCGTGTTTTGCCTTTTTTGGAATTGGTTGTGCCGAGCCGCCGTGTTTGGCTGCGTTGTGTCAAGTTGAGCAGGGAGAAGAAGAAGATTACCGACAAGGCGATGCAGATTGCTATGGCAGCCACACTCCATGTGAAAAGCAAATCCTGGCAATGCATAGCTGTTTACATGTTGTGAAGGACAGAGAGTACGAGCGAAAGTTCCACATGAAGAGACGCCAAATGGCTGGCGCCTCATGCGATAGCTCTGCTTAAATCCGTTGTGCACACGATCGCTGCAGCCTGGTCTGTTGAGTGTGGGAGCTGGAATGAGCGACAGACACCCTAAACCCTAAACCCTAAACCCAAAACCCTAAACCCAAAACCCTAAGACCCTAAACCCTAAACCCTAAAACCCTAAAGACTAGCTCCCATCTCAGTGATGTTGGTGCAGCTTACGCTTGCAAGGCCTTGCGGTCTCTTCATCGCTATGCAAAGTCCCTCACAGGCCTTCTGCTTGGTCCATGCTACATCGCTGCAGCAGCATGATGCTGCACATAGGGCACCAGCAGAACCTCTTGACACATACTTGTCCGATGTTAGGGTTGCCTTATTGGGGATTTTCTCATAAGGGAATCCTGCTATTTGGGGGGGGGGGGGGTAGTGTAGGGTTCCCCTATGTTCGTAAAGCCCCACATGCAGGCTCAGACAAGTTGCACCTGCCCATTGTGAGCGTCAAGGCCGACCAGAAGAAGGAGGACCCTAGACCCTAGACCCTAAACCCTAAACCCTAAACCCTAAACCCTAAACCTAAACCCTAAACCCTAAACCCTAATCCTACCTCCGAGGACCAGAAGAAGGAGGCCGAGTCCATCGGCTTTGCTGCAAGCTCGTTTCAGCTACGACGAAACTAGGGTTTAGGGTTTAGGGTTTCGGGTTTAGGGTTTAGGGTTTAGGGGGGGACCCCTAAAATAGACCCCCAAAAGGTAGGATTCCCATATAACAAGGACTTCAAGAAGGTACCCCCTAATTTCGGAAACCCTAACCTCTAAGCCCTAAGCCCTCAACCCTCTACCCTAAGAAGGTACCCCTAGTTTCGGAAACCCCTCATGTGCCGAAACAGGCGAAGAAGAAGGCGAAGCCGGAAGAGAAGGTGGAGAAGGTCAGCAAGAAGCAGCAGGCCGGTTAGGGTTTAGGGTTTAGGGTTTAGGGTTTGGGGTTTAGGGTTTAGGGTTTAGGGTTTGCACAATTTCATAGACTGAGTGGCTGGACATGTCAGGAAATTCTGGACAAGAATCGCCAAAAGGAGCTGGAGAAAACCCAGGCTTGATGAGCTCAGTGGGAGCGATCCATGGTGTTGAGAGACCCTACTTGGAGGTTCGGGGTACTTAGAACGCAACTATAACCGTACGTTTGACCCACTTATAAGCCCCCTCAAGTGCCCTAATGTGCTTATAAGTACAGTTAGAAGTACAGTTATGATTGGTTAATACGTACCATGAACCTCCAAGTAGACCCTATCCTGATCTGGGGGTTTCCCGAAGTGAGGATTCCACTTACATACCCCAAATACAGAAGAATCCCAAATGCAGGTAGCGCGTAAATCCCCACCCCAACAACCCTAAACCCTAAACCCTAAACCCTAAACCCTAAACCCCAAACCCCAAACCCTAAACCCTAAACCCTAAACCCTAAACCCTAAACCCTAAACCCTAAACCCTAAACCCTAAACCCCAAGCCCTAGGCACCTTGATTTTGGAGCACTTGCTGCTTTTCAGGCGCAAGATGCTCAGCAGCTCAACGACTGGGAGAAACCTGTGGATGCTCTGGCGGAGGAGGGAAGGGTTTAGGGTTTAGGGTTTAGGGTTTAGGGTTTAGGGTTTAGGGTTTAGGGTTTAGGGTTTAGGGTTTAGGGTTTAGGGTTTAGGGTTTAGGGTTTAGGGTTTAGGGTTTAGGGTTTAGGGTTCAGGGTTCAGGGTTTAGGGTTTCGGGTTTAGGGTTTCGGAGTTTGGGGTTTAGGGTTTAGGGGTTTGGGGGTTTGAGGTTTGGGATTCAGGGGCTGCCCAAGACCCCCCCCCCCCCCCCCCCCCCCCCCCCTCAAAAACCCCAACACCTTGAACACCCCAACCCACCCCGTTAACCCCTGACCTAAAACCTAAACCCTAAACCCTCAACCCTCAACCCCTAAACCCCAAACCCCTGAACCCTAAACCACAGCCTCAAACCCCAAGCGACGCTAGATTCTCGGGAGGCTCCAGATGTGTCGAAACTGGAGAAGGCGGCCTTCGGGTTAGGGTTTAGGGTTTAGGGTTTAGGGTTTAGGGTTTAGGGTTTAGGGT